CCTCCTGTCTCACGCCAAAGATTTGTTGAATTTGAGACAAATTTATTGCAAGCTTGCCTTGATAATTGTTGGACAAAAATGGTGTACCGGAACCTTTAAATCAGGAATCGGGAGCCCCTCTGATTTATACGCTGTGTCCCGTCTGTCGGCTTTGTTCCCTCTAATAATAAATAATGTACCTTTGTGTCAGCATAAAAACACATCTTACTTTGTTAGTTATCTCTTGCAAGTCGCCTCTTTAGATTAAGTAAATTATTGCCTGCAATAAAACTGATTCAGTAGCACTTACGTGGGGCTCATACATCAGTGTCGACACCCTCGCTCCCGTGAAGAACACAAGGTTCAGTACACAAAGGGCGAGTTCATTTACTGCCTTTAAAAATGATTCATGTCATACTTAATTAAGAGATAGCCTTACATTGAGGTCGCCTGACGGTCTGCCCAACGTGAGATGTTAGCAGTCCTTATCTTGTACTGTAACCTCATAAAATTACACATTAGAAGCGCCTAATGCTCTAAATGCATTAGTGTCACATTAATAATTACGAAACGTTTGTAAGTGCATGTAGGCCAGATGTTTGAGAACACCACCCCCGGTCCTTGTGACCTCGCGGCCTTGTGATCCGGTTTTGTTCTAAGCAACAACTTGTAAGTACATAGTTATTTCTCATGACTAGTTGTCTAGCTACTGTAAATGAACTGTTCTTCTGTCTTTGATATTTCAGACTAGCAAGATGTCGCAATCAATTTCCTCAATGTTTCATCACACTACGCATGAAGATTAACAAAACAGAGAGAGTTATACGTGATCAAAGTTACAAAAGTTAATCAAAGGCTGCGCCGGACTTGGCAGGGTAGCTTCAGCGCTTGCGCAAACAGATTGGAACATTTTCTTAACGGTGTCAGTATCTGTATTCAACGTCTCCGTGAAATACTAATCAGACATCTTCATTATAACATTGACCACTCGTTCGATATGCTGGTATCGTACAATTTGTCAATTAGCTAAGCTGGATGAAGGATGATACCCTGAGGTACTCCTTACTAGGTTATTTATAGTCTCGTTCCAACGTGTTTAACTACAGCATTAGTATAATGTAAACTACTGTTTATCAATATTTACCTAGCCAATACATTATGTAGCAACGTTATTGTTTCTCTTAGTGCCATTATTTTAAGAACACATTTAGTTCAGCTTTTAAAAAAACATGTTCATTCAGTTTTTCGTTAAAAGTTTTCAATTATTCACAATGAAGTTTGTTTGAATTGTAAATGTTTACAACATTAGATTTAATTTTATCTTGAGAACGAACTCGGCACTTATCGATATCTCATTATGTGTGTTATATGGATATTAACTGGTTGTTTCAACCGTAATGTTCAAATATTTCAGGTATGTCAGGAGGGCTATTAAAACGGGATTAATAGTGCAATAAAATTAACATTAAACAAGATTGAAAATTTCAATAACATTATATCTTAAACGCAAATAAATACTCGAAATCGTGCTCACATTTCAACTAATTCCATTCGTGAATTGAAAATTTATTTCTCTAATCAACGCATCCGTTGTTTAATATATCGATACTAAATAATTTACACGAACTTTAATCCAAGTTTACGTGAACAAATCAACGGGTCTGTTAATATTTGTACATTAATGAAATATCAGTCTGAACCTTCAAACCAGATTTAACTTAAGATGAACCAAAACTAGTTGCCATATATGGTTAGTTACGAGTATTATGTTTCTATAAACTACACCAATATGGGAATGAATACAGCTGTTTTGGTGTCAATGATTATGGCAACTACTGACAGTAAAATGTTTGTAGAACATTGACACAAACTTCCCTAACTAACATTCTATGTGACCAAACTAAACTTAATAACACAGCTAGCCACTGCTAGAACTAATAAAAAAGAGACGAACTAAAAGAACGCAAGAGAGTTCTTCTTTGCATTACTCCAAACTAACCAATGAATGGAAATCTTCATTAAATTTCCACATCACATTTTCAGATCGAAACCAAAATGGACATCGTAAAGGCATTATAGTAAAGCCAAGAAATTTAATTACGGGCTTTCAAAACAAAGGGACTTAAATCAAGATAACACAAGAACAGAATGCTTTTAGGAAAACTTTTAACAAACAAAAGGTTGTTGTTGATAGGCCTACTCTAATTACCGACATCCGTGCTCTCATCTTTGTGCTTAATATCTTGAATTATGATAGGAACAACTTTGTTTTTAATGTGATGAATAATGAACTGCGAATTTTTTGTAACAGTTTTATTTTTTACATATGATACATATTTTATATCACTACGTAGTATAAAACAAAGTCGCTATCCGCCATCTGTCTGGCCCTATGTATGATTAGATCTTTAAAACTACGCAACGGATTTTGATGCGATTATTTTTAATCGATAGAGTGATTCTTCAGGAAGTCTTATATGTAAAATACATGCATAATACAGTAGAAAAACACTAATAAATTTAGAGGCTTCTAATTGCACCCGTGCGAAGCCGGGGCGGGTCGCTAGTTTATTATATATTTTGTTGAATATGTTATAGGGTATTAAAATTTACTATTAGTTATTTATTTTGTTTTATTTTATTGCATACCTACTATACAAGCCTATTTTCGCTGATTCACTACTTAACCCATAGGTTGACTAGGAGAAATTGCCACATGACATTAAGTCCACCGTATGTACCTTATGTTTGTGTGCATTAAAGAAGGTACATATTAGATATGTATTAATATATTACGTTTAATTTTACATATTACCACCCCTACTCTAGCCGCAATTGTCGTAGAAGTGCTCTCTGGTAAAAACAAAGTTAACCAAACCTTTTAATTTGTGGTCTTCATCTGCCTTGTCAAGGGTAAGATGACAGCGTTATAGCTCTTTTATACAGGAGGTTGATAGGCCTACAGTGTAGTGGATGATGAGAGCAGAAAAACTAGAAAAATCTAATAACATTATTGTCAAAAGTTAGTGGAAGTGGACTGTAGTAGACACCTATATCGTCAAGATATTAAGAGAAGACTGCCTCGTTGGCCGAGTAGGTGCGAGTGCGACTGCCGGGCTAGGGGTCTCGGATTCGATTCCCTGGTCAGGCAAAGGATTATTGAGTTTTTAAAATTCTCAGTTGCACAAAGTCAGGAATTGTGCCCGGTATACGGCACTAGGCTCACCCCCTATTAAATGGGACTCATAACATTAATAGTGAAATGTGGGTGTTACACTGTACAGTGGCACTAAGTGCCGTAATATGCACCTTTGCCTATGCCTTCGGGGATAAAAAGAGTGATGTTATCATCATCATCATCATCATCATCATCATCATCATCAGCCTGTATTCGTCCACTGCTGGACATAGGCCTCTCCTATGTCCGTGATGTTATGTTAAATTATATTAAGAGAAATGTTCTAAAGATGCTGATGACCGTTCAACCGCATTTTATGGAGATATAATCCCGATTACCCAGACAACCGAGTAATACAATGACAACTTAATACTCATGGTAAATCATCTTAGCGCTCCATATAAAACTGTGACTAATGCATTATATCTAGAAGCATGTTACATTTTACACGTCATGATAGGGGCGGGAAATTGGTTATAATTGAGCTGCTGTTTATTTTCATATAAGAGATTGAACATTACTTTAAGATAAATTTCTATATTTAGATAGTTTTGAGTTGAATAGGACCAGAACATGTAAGACTAAAGAAATGAACTAGAAGGATGATACCTCAAGTCTCTACAATAGATTTAAAAACAACAAGATTTGCATGGAGACAAACTGTCATAACTTTAATGTAAGTTGAAACGTATGAACATGCGACACTAGATACAAAAAGATTGAATAGACACGAGAAAGAGGAAGAAGTGATCAAAATACACATTGAATCAAAAGAGACTGCAAACAAAAAGTATATTATCGATATCATGTATGTTTTGTAGTATAAAACATTAAACTACATTTAGTTTGCTTTCATTTAGATAAACATAAAAGGAACAAAAAAAAATCAAACATGATCAGCACAGTTGTAAGCTACAAAATTTATTTTCTGGCTACACTTTCATTAAGTTCCACAGTAAATACAGTCTGATACAAGCGTTTGTACGTCATGTACACAAAGAGAAATAAAAACAAATGAGATTACATACTCGTAAAGATTGTGTTTTACTCTTAACGTCCATGAGATCAGTTAGGTCCTTTTATATTTGTTCTATTTGTTTTTCGTACCTTGAAAGGCAATATTTATTGGTTCATCTTTATTTTGATCTTGCGTTATTTTCTCGTATTAATTATTCTCATGTGTATTCGATTTGCATTCGATACTTATAATAAGCTAGAGATTACATTGTGACGTAATGATGGAAAGAACGCCTACCGAGTTAAATATCTTCGGTTTTGATAAACTTGAGCGGATCATGAATAAAGTTTAATTAAAGTTTTTCGATTTTCATAGATCTTTGTTACGCCTGAGATTTCTATATTTAATCGTTTGATTACAGATAAGATTCAATTCTATAATAATTTTATTTGTCTCTTAATATTATTTTTCCCGATTAATCGTTTGCTACATTGTCATCAAAAACATCATACAAGAATAACGTGAAGACCTTTACAATTTTGAATATCCTTAGATCTGATAACAGATAACATCTCGAAATAAACTTTAAAGTTCACTAGATTTTATTAAGACCTATGTACATTCAAGACACGTGTTTGAAATGAGGGTAGGGCTATCACACCGCTTGTCAGTAACTATTTGCAAAGGTCAATGACATCAAACGTACGATTAACCTTATTTTGCGATCAATAAACTACATTATTTGTATAGGCACACTGTATTAAATCTAGTTTTTGGGAATGGAGTAGTTGACTATGAGTTTTTAATAATATTTGAAACCAAGTATGAACCGTCCACTTACTTTATATTTGTATCTAATGTTATTTAATACTATCTTGTCCTCAGGCGGTGGGTCGCGAAGGTGTCTTGTCATCGGTCGCGTCTCGTGAGCTTCGCTGTGGTCGACGTCTGGTGTCAGGCCTGTTCTCTCGACCACGCCTGCCACTCGGATACTCCTATGTCACTACCGTTCCTCGAGGCGCCTGCAGACTCAACATCTCTGAAGTGACACCCAGTGACAACTACATAGGTAAACTTGACAATTGTTCTCTGTCTAATCAATTCTATTTCTTAGAATCAAAATATTTTACATTACAATTAACAGCTAGTCACAAATAGATGTCTTAATCGAGAGATGAAGTGTTTGGTAGTGCAAAGATCGATGTCGAATCGATTAATGGGAATTGCACATGCGCACCGCGGCGCTACTCTTCAATAGAGGCGCCTACGCCGCAAATTGTGAGATAAATGGAGGTAGCCGTCTGCACAATTGGTGGTTAATTATTCGCATGACGTAGTCGCTAGCAATTTAGTCGAGTTCAACAATTCGTTCAACGATTGTTTATTCAATTACTTTCGTTTAATTTTGCTTATTCGATAGGTACAAATTGTGTTTTTTGTTTAGCGTTGAAAGTATCCAATGGGTCGTACATAATGAATGGTGAGTTCGCGGTGTCGGCGGCGGGTACGTACGAGGCTGCGGGCGCACGCTTCGTGTACACGCGACAGGGCTCGCTCGACAGCGTCATCGCACACGGGCCCATACACCACCCCATCGATATCATGGTAAGAGTTCGGAGAACAAAAATATAAATCTTACATCTTGTTTTTATTTTTTTTAATGAATATGTCCTAATTATATTCTATTTTTCAGATCCTGTACACGCAACCAAATCCGAATATAAAATACGAATACTTAACTGATTTAGAACCTGACGAAACTAGTAATGATATACCAACAGCCAACCCTGTGCCCCACCACTCGGCACAACGACACCACCGGCATCACAACATCGAGCCACACCTGCGCGACCTCGAAACAAAATCCGAGCCATCTCTGTCGAAGATACCAGACTTCAATAATTTGGAAAGTCAATCTCAAGTTGAGAGTAATGTTATCGGAAGCAGAAAGTTTATTTGGAAGATTATGGAATTTTCGCAATGTTCACGTAGCTGTGGAGGTGGACTTCAAATCGGAAAGTTTAAGTGTGCTGAAGTCACTGAGAAAGGCGATAAGGAAGTGTCTCCCTTCCACTGCACTGGTGCTCCTCCACCAGCACGCCGACGTCGCTGTGGAGGCAACCCATGTCCTCCACGATGGAGAGCGGCCGCTTGGGGACCCTGCCCAGTTTGTGGACCAGCACACAGGACGCGAATTGTGGGCTGTGTTCAGGACCATGCGCGAGGAATCACTAAGGTATTTTATACATACAGATTTATTTTATTTGTTTTAATTGAATAACTTTCATGTGACTGTTTTTAATCAATCACATGTTTTTCAGATAAGCGACCAAAAATGTCCCTTACCAATGCCTCCAAGCAGCGAACTCTGTGACATTCCAAACTGCGACGGCACGGCTGCTACGACCTCTGTACCACGACTGGACGCTAGGCGTCAAGTGCGACCAAAGGACCGAACTGACAATTTCAGAGAAGGCCCAGTGATATCCCTCGCCACAAACTTTACTGATAACGACATTGGAACCACACCAGCACCAAGCTACAGCCACAATGCTGGAGGAGGATGGTTGTACACAGAATGGTCTCAGGTAATGACCATAAAAAGTCCAACATCAAAACATTTTCCTATTGATACTAATTTATAGCTGCGTAATATATTTAATCCCTAAAGGGTCAGTGTTCTTGTGCTTGCCAGCAAAGGTATTAATGAGACTTAAATGTGAGAAGGGTGCGAACCTATAGTTATTTATGAGTTTACGCCAAAATTCGAAATGGGAATTATAATTTCCTAGGCGAAAATTCTCGTTATTAAAATAGATCTTTCAATTGCGAACGTGGTGTGATATTAACATTTACTTGGAATTTATTATTTGTGGCACATCCTAATAAAGTTCTATATTTCAGTGTGTAGGTTGGTGCGTGGGTGGAGGTGTGCAATCTCGAGGAGTTCGATGTGTAGATCCTAATGGATGCACAACTCATCGTGCGCCAGAACAAACACAATCATGTTCTATCAGGAAACAGTGTGACGCGCAGTGGTTTACGAGTAAGATATTGGCGAACTATTTAATTTTTTACAACTTTCAATTTTGTACCTCTATATCTAGTTAAAAGCAGATGCATAATCATTGTCATTAAAGAGACTTTCGTAGTACCGTTCTGAAATTCGTTTAATATTCACCCCACAAATTAATATCTTTACAATTTTCTTAGGTGAATGGTCAGCTTGTTCTGCTACGTGTGGTGGTAAACAAGTGCGTGGTGTCATCTGCATCGGAGGCAATGGCAGGAGACTGCGAGACTCCATGTGCAGAGGAAATAAACCTGATGCTGAGCAGGCTTGTGGAGGAACCTGCAGTCCTTCATGGTATCTCAGCGATTGGTCGGAGGTGAGTTAAACTAAAATTATTTCAAAACTTAAGTTTGTATTGGACCTATTAACGTAACCAACCCGAAGCAAATTCAGTATTAACAATGATGATGATATGAGTACAATGATGACGTTTTTGTTTACCCATATTGGTTTAGTCATTAAAAAGGACAAAGAGCAATAAAACATTATACGTTATTTTTTGGCACCTAGAAACAGGCTTAATTAAGTGTAGACAAAGCTCTACTAGAAATTACAAAGGCTATCTCAAGGACGAATCTTGGAAACAAAGAAATAGGTAACTCGCTTTGTGCCAAAATTACGAAACGAGACTAGTTTACGTTCCCAAAGCCTAACAACAGACCTCGACATTGTTCTACCCTGTATTCAGAGGCTCTACCCATCAATTTAAATAAGGGAAATAATTGCAACCACAATGTTCCATTAAGTATAGTCTGCTAGTGGTTTTGCAATTTGTAACCTTCAACGCTTAGATTGATGTACTTAGTACGCCAATTCTTCGTCCACGATTTTAGGGCTCGACCTCTCTAATAGGTAATTAGAGGTGGAAAAATAAAACAAAATAAGTGCCAAGAATTGTTACATTTTAATCGAACAGAAATGTGAATGAAAATTCTTCATAATAATGTTTCCCAAGTCAATATAATCATGTCCATCTGATGGTAATTTTTTCAAATTAAAAGCTATACACTATATTTTCGTTCTAGTGCTTAATAGACATATTTATTCTAGCTTCTTAATTCCTTTTCCTACTTCATGAATGAGTTCTTGAATTGAAGGTCAAGGTTCATGTAGTGGAATGTCCGTAGCGATTAGGACAATGATTCCAAATATGCCAGTGTTACTGGGCCCGCCCCTCCTGATATGGTTAATGAAAACAACGACTATATAACAAGTTCTCTAATTAATCCAAACCTGAGTCATTTTCGTGTCGCCAGTCCAATCATTGATGACGTCCGACTCGATTCAACTGTCAATCAAGTTATTGCAATTGATTGAAATGACAATAGAAACTCAGATGTTGCTGTCAATGTTGCCTATAGGGTGCAAAGTTATTTTAATGCCAATCCTAAACCACGTGTGTACACTAGATATATTAATAGTACTTTCATATCAAACACTTTCTCGTAGATACTCGTCACCTAGATTTTTTGCTCTCTAATTCATTTAAACACACCCTGGCCTTTGAACATTAGTCTATACCAATGGATTAGGTTAGGCACACATTAAAGCGTAAAATCCTTGATATTTATTAATAATATAACAAAAATATTACCACTAATAGATTAGTACGATTTAACCAGTGGTTTTAAACATGACCTTACCTTATTGTCTCTCATACCAATTTATGGATTTTTCTACAGTGCCAAGGTCCATGCGAGGCTGGCGTTCAATCTCGCACAGTATGGTGCGCGCGCGGTGGTGCAGAGGGCGCTAGCGGCGCGGCGCGAGACGCGGACTGCGCTGGAGTGCGTCCCCCAGCTAAACGTTCTTGTGTGCCATCACGGTGCTCCACAAGACCAGCAGTCAAGACTGCGGTTGTGAATGCACCTCCATCAGGTTTGAATTCAGATAGATTGACCTATATTATTTAGTAGAAGATGTTAAAATTTTATTAATGTATGTTGTGAAGTTTCAGATCCACAACAACGTGTAACTAGACACCAAAGCCATACAGCACAAAATGTTCGAGACAGATCTTACGCCGACGGTAAATAATTTTCTTCACTTTTATTAGACCTTTATTCTTTTTTTACAATTCACTTCTTTTTGTTTATTTATAAAATATATAATTGTCTTTTTCTCCCTGATTCATCAATCGTTCTTACATAACCTGATAACTCATCAACACTTCATTAACATCTTCTTGTGGTACCACTTCATTACTGAACTTTAGCTGACAATTTTTTTTATTCTTTTTTGGCATTGGTTAAGTGGAACATTTATTAACTACCATTATTTAAGAATCCTTTTTCCCAAATCATTATTCAGTGATCACCTTCGGAATAATTTAATTTTGACTTTTACCTTCACAGGAGCATGTATAGACAAGCTGAATAACTGCGCGTTGGCAGTGCAAGCTCGGCTGTGCCATTACCCGTACTACGCCGACTATTGTTGCAAATCCTGCCACGGACGGTAAACCATCATAGTTGGAGTAAGACTTTTGTTATTAATTTTATTTACTATGAAGTTCAGGACATTACTGATTTTCAGAGATAAACTGTTGTTAATAAAACGTTATTTTTTTATGGTATAATCTGGTAAACGAGCAGACGGATCACCTGATGGTAAATAATCGGCGTTGCTCATGGACACCCGAAACACCAGAGGCGTTACAAGTACGTTACCGGCCTTTTGGGGATTAGGAGTTTGAGGACCGTTGGGGATTCAGGGATTGGGGAGATTGGGGAAGGGGAGGGTAATTGGGCCTCCGGTAACCTCACTCACACGACGAAACACAACGCAAGCGTTGCTTCACGTCGGTTTTCTATGAGACCGTGGTATCACTCCGGTCGAGCCGGCCTATTCGTGCCGAAGCATGGCTCTCCCACACTTTTCCATTTTTTTTTACGTTCAATATTAATGGGTCTATCTCATCCACAGGTACAAACATTGAACACTAAGGCGCTATTACACGTATTGTGATATAAAATGGACGCATAGTGAGAATACGTAAAGTTTAACAAGCCGAGGGCCGCGGCTCCGTCTGCGCACCAACTCACACGCTAAGCCCGTAACTGATCAACGCGATCAAATACTCACAGCTACAATGAATCCTTTCACGATGAAAGTGGAACGTGTTCGCTTCAATTAATAGGTACGGAAAGGTTAAGCGCTAATGCACCGAGTATTAAGTCTGAATCAAGCCAAAGTGAAACAGACTAAGACTAGTTATCGGATTGACTTACCTAAATGACTCACTCAATTCTGTATCGAGTTAATTACTCAATGTTTATTGTGTTCTGCACTAAAATGGTAGGTGTCATTGACAAAGATGGCGGTGTGCGCGCGGCTCAAAAGTGAATAAACGTTCGAGTTCTTGTAAGTATTAGGAATAGTTTCGTGATCTCCAGTTTAGTCGAGTTATGGAGTCGATCTGTGAACTGTAGAACTATCAAAATTATAAAAGTGAAAAAAAAAATATAATAAAAATCATTTCGTTTATATCTTTACATTTATTGCACGACATGTTATCGAGTTGAGCACTTGTATGCGTAGATTTTTTTATAACTTGCCTGTAACAAAATGGAATTATGCATTTTACCGAATTTCTTATACTGTATTACTTAGGAGATTAATTCATGTAAGCATGTTTGGAACTACAGTTCATTTTGCGTTTGTAATGCAACTTAGGCTATGCAATATAGATTAAGAACAAAAATAGTATTTCTTATTGTTCTAATAGTTTCTTCGGTATGTACTTATAGAAACTATAATGCTGGCTCCACACGTGTTCGATAGCGTGTCGGTAAGGGATGGTAATGTAACATTGTATGGTTTACGTTACACGTTCCTTAGTTCGCCGAGCGCTGTTCGCAGATGTGTGTCGCCGGCATCAGTGTTCATAATAACTTATTACACCGATTCTGTTTATCAAAGAGTCAGTTTTGTATTATTAAAGAGTCGCATTGTGTAAATAGATAATTATTTTTATATGTATAGTGCATTTACTTACTGGCTGTTAAGTATTTATACGACTGTATTAGTTAAAACATTGTACCATCACAGTAATGTATGTAATAATTGGTTTTCGCTAAAATGTAACTACCATTTATTAAATTTTTTGTCTGTACTAATGATGCATATAACAATGTACAAAAATAATAAGCTTTAAACACTGGTTGTTGTTATTATTTTCCTATTTTATCCCCTAATGTATTTTTTTACGGCATAAGACGGTAAACGAGCAGATAGATCACCTGATGGTAAGCAATCGGCGTCGCCCATTACGGTAACACACCTGGAACACCAGAGGCGTTACAAGTGCGTTACCGGCCCTTTGGGGATTAGGAGTTTGAGGATCGTAGGGGATTCAGGAAGGGGAGGGTAATTGGGCCGCCGGTAACGCAACGCAAGCGTTGCTTCACGTCGGTTTTCTGTTAGGCCGTGGTATCACTTCGGTCGAGCCGGCCCATTCGTGCCAAAGCATGGCTCTCCGCCACTTATGATAGAATACATGATATATGATAGAATATGATTGAATTCATCCATTCCAGAATTTCCAAAAAGTCTACTAATACTGTGTATTATATAGAAAGAAATAAGTACTTTAATAAAATGAGAACTTTATTTTTATTTAAAAAAGTCTGAATAATAAGGGACCAGGTACCCAAGTGTGTACGGCCGCTTAAGAGGTGACTTCACTGTACAAGCCCGCAGTATCAAGAAAGGACATCCATACTTAGCAGGGCACTCATCTACCATATATACATACTAGCGGACCCGACAGACGTTGTCCTGCATATCCACTTGAATGTATAAACAAAATTCATTCAAATTAGTTCAGCCGTTTAGGATAACTAACCTAGACTGCAATGAACTACAATTAAAAGAAAAAAAAAGACTCTACAGCGCCATCTGCCGCGCTGATTTGTGAATCTAAACCATCCAGGGCGCCACTCAAACGCATACAGAAAAATCCATTTAAATCGGTCAAGCCGTTTAGGAGGAGTTCAATGACATACACACGTACAGCAGAATTATTTATATAAAGAAGATACACCCATACCTACTTACTGTGTAGTACATGGCACAGTCAACTATCATTATTGTACAATTACCTTGAAACCAATGTCCAGATAATGTTTTCAAGAGCTAATTAAAATAGTTTTCATATTAAAGAAAAATTAATTATGTACTTAGTTGGAATTCTTCCCACTTCTACATCGAGTCACGTAAGTGTACTTCACGTCTACTTTAGATTATAATGTTATCGATGCATCTACACTTCACTACTGAAGTTTAAATCGTAAGGGTTTGTTCATAGATAAACTTTTACTATGACAAAAATAAATGAAAATTAAGCAGTGAAAAATAGAGAGAAAGAGATAGATAGAAGTAGTCAGCTATGTCAAAGAAATGCAAGAAAGCTTCCTATTTTGAATTTTAAAATCAAATGACCTAATTTTATTTTACTCGACTGGTACATTGAATCTGAGTTACTCAACTTCGCAAATACACGGTCCTACATTTGAAAAAGAATGTTTGGCAGTTTACTACATGTAAAAAAAAATGTTTTTAATTCTAGAATGTACTCTATAATTTTAAAGTCGCGAAAGGACAAATGTATAATATAAGAACATGATACCAACTTTAACCAGCTGTCCTATTTTTATAAGGTTAATAAGAGTGAACATTACTTCTTGAAAGTTCATCAAATATTAAGGTTACATGGGAATGCATGACCACTTCATTTATCTAAATAAATATGTAAATGAAAACTGTTAAATACATAACAAAACATAATGAATTAAAATTACGGTTTACTTGCGTAAACTGTTCGAGAAAACTTGTATTAGCTTCCACTTCCAGTCACATTGGAACTCTCATACATGAGCAGCGCGCTCGACACGACGGCATCTCGCAGCAAATTCAGCCTGTGTACAAAAATTGATAAAACCAAAACACCAAATAATAGTACTCTTTACACCCGGAATTGTGCGTGAGACTGAGTGAGTCTCAGTCACACTCCATCAAGGAGGCAATATTTCCACGTAGAAGCACCTTTACAATATTATAAAGTGTTTACATACATAAGTCCATTTAACTATTTGTCCTTAGAAATTTTAGCATTCAAAGTCTATTATCCGAACTGTATCGAACGTGTGCCAAAATGTCTACAGAAAATACTGACAATCATATTAATGAAGAAAAAGTAACTTCTGCTAAAGTAGAAGAGAATTTATGTTTTATATCAGTGAGATTGACCATCAATCTATTGATACATGTCCTAATATTTCTGATTGTGTTCATATGTCTGTGGTTCGCCTGCAGTACTGAGATCAATTTGTTTAATTTACACATCATTCTGTGTGTTCTTGGGGTAAGATCTTATACATTATTCTTCACTATTTCTTATAATTATTATTGAGAACCATGTACTTTTGTGTTTATATTAAAACTTTCGAGGGGCATACTAATTAATTATTATGTTTTCGGCTTACTCACGTAACAATAGCAGCTCGACAGTCGCCACGTCGCGGGTCGCGAAATGCTGCTAATGAATATGAGCCTCTAGCATGGCTTGAAACTAGTCGAGTCCCTCGTCAAACAGTTACATGAGTAAGCCGAAAACATAATAATATTACTATTGCACTTTTGTGTTGATATTTCTCTCACGTCGTATCGAACTCATTCCATATTATGATTTTAGTGTAAAGCGCTATGAGGTCGGAAAGTAATAAATGTGTTTGTTAATTTCAGCAGATTAAGAAATACCTAATAGAATACAGTTAATAATAGTTTCGCCATTTAATTCTTTAAAAATTTAAAAGTGCACATTAACAGGTACATAACATATAACATCACGCCTTTTATCCCCGAAGGGATAGGCAAAGGTGCACACATATAACACCCACATTTCAATACTTTATGTTATGAGCCTATTGCCATATACCGGGTACAATTCCGAACTCCGTGCTACAACTGAGATTGTTTTTAAAAACCCAGTAATACTTGCCCAACACAGGAATCAAAGACAAATGCAGTCAAAGACATACATTTATTTATTTATATATGCTTTATTGTAGACATTTAAGTAGCTTAAAACAAACAATTCTAGTAAATATGCGTACATGCGGTCTTATCACACAATGGTGATTTCTTCCAGACAACCTTTGGATGAAAATATTTATAAGAAACCAGATAAGGGGTAGTTAAATGTACAATAAAAAAAAGACAAAATAAAAATGCCTACAATACAACCTACAATCGATATAATATACTCGCAATATATAAACAAGAAATACATAAATAATATATAAAAATACAATAAGCAATGTGTGAGTGAGGGTGTGTATGTGTGTGTATTTGTGTATGTGTGTGTGTGTGTGTGAGTGTCTTTGTGTTAGTGTGTGTGTGTGGTATACATTGTAGGTACCCAACATAATGTAAGAGACACTTTTCACCAAATCGTCAATTATGGTATAGGCGCTAAGTATAATTTCAGGACCAGTTTTATTATTAAGAATTTTCAAAAATCCCAAGAGAACTTAGGTACTTGAAATGTTACTTCAATAAATGTTATAAATAAAATCTTTGTTACTCAATCACGTCACAACGACTGAAAGGATCAAAATGAAAGTTGGATCAGAAGTAGGTTGTGGTCTGGAATAACACAGGCTATACAAGGTGTAGTTTTGAAACCGTTTCATTTCTCGGGGGCATGTCACAGAAGTCATAAAGGTTCAATGTAAGAGAAAGTTTCGGGCCAATAGTTAAAAATACGGCTATAATAAATCGTTTAAGTTCGACAGTATTTCAGAATAAGCGACAGCAATGTTCCTTATTGGAGTTTTATGGAATTAGGAATAATATCAATTACGTGTTTGAGTTTGTGTGTAAAGCCGCGTTATAAAACTAGTTACTTGGCAGCGTGTAGTTCGCACTTACGGATTTCCGTAATTTACAGAAAAATTAAAAATATTTACCTACAATTTTTTTTTATTGATTCGGACTCACAATCGATGGCCAAGTTACCTCCTAGAAAATGACGTGGCTTTAAAACAACACCTTGTATCTGTATCTGGAAACGCAGACGAAACCGTCGGTAGAAGCTAATACAATAAGTAAAAGAAACCTCATCACCTTAACGGCTTTTTAAAAAGGATGGGGGTTATATCAATTCGACCGTTTTTATTTGAACCTAGCTTCTGCCCGCTACTTCGTACGCGCAATCCCGTTTTCTCCCGTTCTACGGGAACGAGATTTTAAGAACCTTCTCCTAAAAATAAATAGTGAAATCGGTCCAGGCATTCACGCGTGATGCCGTGACTAAGGGAAACATGGATTCATTTTTATACCTTCTGTATATACATATATAGTTCTGCTGTACGTGTGTATGTCATTGAACTCCTCCTAAACAGCTTGACCGATTTAAATGAATTTTTCTGTATGCGTTTGAGTGGTGCCCTGGATGATTTAGATCAAATCAGCCCAACAGATGGAGCTGCAGTCGGAATCTAGGTTATTTATCTATACCTATTATTATTATATTATATGCAGGACAACGTCTCTCGGGTCCGCTAGTATGTATACATATATTGATTATTTAATGATATTTTTTTTAAATCTTCCAGTACCAATTCTTTATGTGTCATGGAACGCTAGTGATGTCACAGTACAACGCTTGGACAATGTTCGTAACTCGTCGATACAAGAAGCATTTGCATTGGGTACTCCAAGTCCTTGCTTTTGCCCTGGTCACTACGGGAACTGTTTTTGTGATACTACAGAAAGACACCCACTTCACGTCTATTCATGGAATACTAGGTAAATAAGATATTTAAGTTTATAATAAGTTAGTATATCGTACATACATAGCGTCACGCATTTTAGCCCCGAAGTGGTAGACAGAGGTGCACATTACGGCACTTAATGCCACTGTTCAATGTAATGAACACTCACTTTTCACTATTTATGTTATGAGTCCCATGTAACAGGGGGTGAGTCTATTGCCATATACCAGGTACAATTCCAGACTCCGTGCTACCATTGAGATTTCTCCGACCCGGAAATCAAACCTTCGGCCATCGAGGCAGTTTGAGTTAGTTAGTATATCATCTAGTAACTTTAATCACATAAACATTGACTGCACGATTGGTTCAGTGGTTGGCTGCCGCG